GGCAAGGGTCAGGAGCAGCAACCCTGCCAGGCAGGTTTCTGAAGCTCAATCGGGGCCCAGCGCACCCCCAGTGCAGCCCTGGACTCGAGCCGCCTCAGTACTCACCGCTGCTCGCCTGGAGCTGGGGCCGAGGAGAGGCAGGGGAGAGGCTGGGCCCAGCTCAGCTGTGAAGGCAGCGCGACTCCCGCTTGCTCCCGCTTGCTCCAGGCCCGCCCGCCTCTCAGTCCCTCCTTCCCCCCTACGCGCGGCTCAGAGCTAATCCTCCCCCCCACCCCGCCCTTTCCCGGGGCCCTGAGCCCCGGAGGCTGGCCCCCCTTCTCGACGCTAGGTCCCCGCTGGGCAATCCCGCCAACCTGAGACCCGCCCCTGAGGAGGGGGAGGACGTATGGAACCTCTGGTCTGTTCTTCAGACCCTCACATGACCCACCCCAATCGTGTCCACGTCCCTCTCTTCCACCACCCCGAGCCGCACGCAGGACCCAGCTGCACACGCGTGTCCCGCTCCAGACCCCACGCGTGTCCCTAGGAGGTTGCCACATGACCTGTTACATGCCACATGCGCTCCCGCCCCCACGAGCACGCGGCCGCGCCAGCACACGGTACGGGTGTAGACTGGACCCGCCCCCTAAATCCAGGAGACCATCAGTTTATGGAAGAAAGATCTAGGGAGCACTGCCTCAAACCCTCCGGATGTTCTAAGACTAGGACTCAGGAGACACAACCCTGACCACTCGCTCAGGATGCAGCAGAAGGGATGTTAGTCAGACTTCAAAAAGAACTTCCTTGCTGCCTGAGTTAGGCATCCTGCCCGTCTGGTAAGAGGTTAGACGGAATGACGCTTGAACTAGAGGAAGTGGGAGACAGGCAACCCTTGTGTCCTTGGCCAAGGTAGAAGCGGGCCCGGCTATTTTAAGAAAGCACCGCTAAAGTTACTAGGGCAACTGCTCTCCTTGGGAACTCCAGGGCAGGCAAGTGGTGACCTCGGAAGGAAGAAGGGGTCTGTTCGAGTGGTCAGGGGGCGCAAGAACTTGCGAGGCGGGGGTGCGCGGGGCTCACCGCGGGGAGGGGCTGCGCGGGCTCGGCGTGGTGCTGAAGGGGACAGCGCCAGATTTGTCACACTGCGCAGGCGCAGAAGCGGGAACAACGCTGGGATGGGGAGGAGGCGCGCGGCCCGCGGTGGTGCGCGCCCACTTGACTCGAGCACAGATCTGTCCTCCCAGCTACCCTTCCCCAAGCAGGCGGAGGAAAAGGGAGCAAGTCCCTCACCCAAACTGACCCTCCTTGGTCTTTCCCCGCTGCTGTTTACTCCCTTCTCGCATCATGGGAGTGGGGGTGGGGTGAGGGAGGGTGGAGGAGTGTGAAAGGGATTTTGGGAAAACCAGGATGCCTGAGTTCTTTATCCCGACTCGCTTGACCCCGGACAAGGTGCTGCGTCTCCAGGGCCTCGGTTTCATCTTCAAAGTGGAGTGACGGAACAGACATGCCCACCTTGCAGAGGTGCCGAAGCCCTGATAATGGATGGGAAGAATTTTTCGTTATGAAGAGGCAGGTGAAAGGGTTGCACGACGGGAAAGTGCAACCCTGCTGGGGCGGGGGGGGGGGGGGGGGGGGTGGGGACAGCTGGACCGGGAAAGGGACTTGGTGGGCCCTTGACCTTCCCGTGTCTCCATCTCCTGTTCCCTCTCACCTCTTCCCCTAGCAGGTGGTCCCTCTTTTCCCTCTCTTCCTCCTAAACGTGACTGTAAGAGCATGCTGTCCCCCAGTTCCAGGGCCAACTTGGTTCTCCCTGGGGGTGGGCACCTTCTCACCCATCCCCCCCTACCGTCACGGGGGGGGGCGGATTACTGCCCCAGGGCGGGCCCAGCCCCAGACCCCACAACTAAACCCCCAGGCCAACCGATAAGCAGTATTCCTGGCGGGCTGACCTGATCACTTATTCTTCTCAGGACTCTAGACCTCCTGGGTAAAGGAAAGGGACCCAGTTGGAGATACAGTCCTTCTCGACCCTACATTTCTCCCTCCAAGGTGTAAACCCGTTACAAATTTTCCGAGAATGGAAGGGGTTGGATAGCTCTGTACTTCACAATTAACCAGGGATGGGAGGTTTGGGCAAGTTTGCTTGATGAAGGAAGGAAAATTCTAGCTTTCCTCATTCAATTCATTCAGCAATTCTTGGGTATCTACTACGTGCCAGGCAATAAGATCCTGGACAGTTTTTCCCCATTTTTCAAACTCGCTAAACGCCATCAGAGGGCAGAGAAAATAGGCCCAGAACCTTAACAGTCCTGGCCCCGCCCCTTATACGTTTGTCTTTGCCTGCTCCTCCCATCACTTCACTTTGAGGCGGCCACTGGCCCAAAACGAAAAAAGCCAGTCTCTGCTGCACCATCGCATTCTTCAGCCTCGGGGCTCAAGCCCTGTAGCGGAGAAGGCGAGGTCTAACTTTACACCACCGGCCTGTTTCGCCTCTAGTTTCGGGATCCATCCGGAACACTTTCAGACAGGATCCTCAGTGAGTCGGCACTCGATTGAATCGGTCTGTTTCTACAGCCAAAGTAGGCGGGTTCGCTGCGGCCGCTCCAGGCCAAAGCAAGAAAACCTTACTGCGCACGCGCAGTAGACAACCGATGGAGCCACAGATGGAGCAGTCCGGAGGGGAGCAAGAGCCCGGAGCCGTCAGGTACCGAGAACCGGAGAGGCCGAGAGAGGGAAAAAAGGCCTGGGGGAGGGGAGCTGAACCAGAGCCGGGTCTGGGGGTCGCTTTTAGGAGCCGGGGCTTAGGAGCATAACGGAGGCGGACTCGCAGGTAACAGCAACCCGATGACGCCGCCGCCAACGCCCCTTTGCCCGCAGGCTCCTGGACCTGCCCTGGGAAGACGTTCTGCTCCCACACGTCCTGAGCCGTGTGCCGCTGCGCCAGCTGCTCCGGCTGCAGCGCGTCAGTCGGGCCTTCCGGGCGCTAGTGCAGCTGCACCTGGCCGGGCTGCGCCGCTTCGACGCCGCTCAGGTAAGCCTGGGGCCGGAGCCCCACCCCCTTCTGGATACTGCCCCCGCCCCGGCTCCAGCCCCGCCTCCAACCCCCTGTCCCCAGCCCTGAACCTCCAGCCCCCAGCTCCGCTGTCTACCCTTCGGAATCCGCCTTGGGCCTCTAGGAATGACCTGGAAGCGATCCACGCAGCGAGAAGTACTCTCAAAGGGCGAGTACCGGGAATCAATTCAGAGGGCGCGTAGGGTCTCTCTTGGGAGGTCAGGTGGCAAGCCCCGAGGGCGACCTGCTGCCAGGAAAGCACTCCTCAGGGACGGGTAGGCAGCGTCCGCCCCCGGAACCAGCTGAGAGTCGAGGTGCTTCTCCGCCCGTAGGTGGGTCCGCAGATCCCGCAGGCCGCATTGGCCTGGCTGCTGCGGGACGCCGAGGGGCTGCAGGAGCTGGCGCTGGCGCCGTGTCACGAATGGCTGTCGGACGAGGATCTGGTGCCGGTGCTGGCGCGGAATCCCCAGCTGCGGAGTGTGGCGCTGGCCGGCTGCGGGCAACTGAGCCGCCGCGCGCTGGGGGCGCTGGCCGAGGGCTGCCCCCGCCTGCAGCGCCTTTCGCTCGCGCACTGTGACTGGGTAGATGGGCTGGCGCTGCGCGGCCTCGCTGACCGCTGTCCGGCCCTTGAGGAACTGGACCTCACCGCCTGCCGACAGCTCAAGGATGAGGCCATCGTGTACCTGGCGCAGAGGCGCGGCGCAGGCCTTCGCAGCCTCTCGCTGGCGGTCAACGCCAATGTGGGGGACGTCGCCGTCCAGGAGTTGGCTCGCAACTGCCCGGAACTCCAGCACCTCGACCTAACCGGCTGCCTCCGGGTCGGAAGCGACGGTGTCAGGTGCCTGGGCCTGGGGTCGGTGGTATGGGAGGAGGGCAATCAATTAGCCTCTGGGGGTCGGGGCGGGCTGTAGTTGTTGAAAGGCAGAACTGGGGTTTCTGTATCTTCCTGCTACCACGGCACCCCCATTCTGAACAGGAAGGGCCTCTAGGAATGCCTAGGCCAGAGAGCCCACAGTTTAAAAACTTTTTTGAACCAGTATTTACACATTGGGAGATTTCACATACAGAGTACAAGTCAGATTTCTGGCTGTTCTTCAACAAGGGGAAAACCTTGCAATCCTGGGCACAGCTGAGAAGCAGGTTCCCTGTTTCAGAGACAGGAAGTCTCTGGTTCACTGGACGCATTAAGTGTTATGACCCCAAATCGGGTCTCCTCCCTTCTGTACGGAGGGAAGAAGTATGCCCCGAACTGGAGGGAGACAGGGGCTTTGCCGGCTCCCCCACCGTGGGTGTAGCGGCTTCACGCCCCTCACCTCACCCGGCTCCTCCCCCAGGACGCTGGCCGAGTACTGCCCCGTGCTGCGCTCGCTGCGGGTGAGGCACTGCCACCATGTGGCCGAGCCCAGCCTAAGCCGTTTGCGGAAGCGCGGCGTGGACATCGATGTGGAGCCTCCGCTGCATCAGGCCCTGGTGCTGCTACAGGACATGGCAGGCTTTGCACCCTTTGTCAACCTGCAGGTCTGACCCGCCTGCCGATGGGCACAGCTGGACTGTGTGGCGGGGCTTCACTGTGAACCGTAGGGAAACTGAACTGTGGGGGCCTCGGCTGAGAGGCCAGTGCCCTGCCCTACCCTGGAGCTTCAAATAAAGAGCTTTTTACCCCTTCTTGCCTGGCGCTGCTGCCCTGTTGGAGATAGGGGATGTAAAGCTGGGAGAGACAGACATAGTACTCCAGCACCCCAGCTGTGAAATGACCAGAATGTACTCACACCTTCCTGGGGCTACCTTTACTGTGCCCATGGCAGCTCCAAGAGGAGGTTAACACTGGAGCAAGGAAGTAGGGAA